GGCTGCTGGCGGATCCCTGATCGGAATGCTGGTGGTGAAGACTCTCTCCGCAATCTCTCCGTGTAGACATGGCATCCTTCAATGGAAAGCGTCAGTTTATCATCATGGCACGATCCGTTGTTGTCGATGGGCTCTTCTCCATTGCGGCGAATGTCAACCTGTGGTACCTGCAACTTTTTACTCCATCTGAGGTTACACTAACCTCAAGAAGAAGTCCCTCATGACTTAATATCTCCCACGGTTTCTCAGATTCTTCAGAATTTGAGAATCGAGGCGCTGACATACTGAAAATGGTAGATAAGTCTTGTCTTACCAGACAGACTATCCTTAATCTTATCATGACTGACCTGACTACTCTCATGGCTGAAAAACCATGACTTGACTCTCGCATGGCTGAATCATCTATGTTCAAACTCTGAAACTATCTCGAGACAACTTAAATAGTCGTTTCGGGACTGAAAACATGATATTTACTGACTTACTTGACTTGATAAGGTACGACTTCAAGTTTCCAGGTAAATCTGAACTAAGGGTCTGTATATCAGACCGCTACCTTTTACCCGGCTGAACAACTATTATACGTCGACCTTATATCATGAATCTAAACTGTAAATCGTGAGCGTGAACTCTGTACTATATAGGGCTGTTCCAGTATCAACTGGTCCCGCAAGTACAGAGTAATTAGCTGATCTTGACTTCTGAAAGTCATAACTTAAAATAGCCTGACTGATAAAATATCTGACATGACTGACTTGAAAGGTTGTTATTATCTGAAATCTTACTGATTCGGCCCCAGCTTCAAGCCTCCATGGTATACCCGGCTGAGTGGCTCTTATTTCAAGCCTCCATGGTAACCCGGACTATTGACTCTTATACACTGGAAACCGTTACCTTGACAATGACTTGAGAATTATAACAACCTTTAACATGAACATTCTTGCTTTGAACATGACTTACTGATCTGACTTAGGAACTTTGAGTCTATTCCTCGAATTAAATCAAGGAATTTCTCTCTGAAGTCTGCCAATTGATTGACAAAATGGCAGTTCTCGAAAAAAAATTGCTGAAAAACATGATTCTTATGATTTGTTTAGCACAATGCTTACAAATCTTCTGACAAGTTACTAACTTGACTTGAGTAAATCTAGAATTGATTCTAGAGTTCTTAAACTCAATCCTTTCTATGAAAGGATTATGAATTCACTTGCCCCTGATACGGGGATTTCTTCGGCCGAAGAATTTCTCAACATGATAGTCGCGGAACTGTGCGACTATTGAAGCTTGAATAGAAGCTGAGTGATCGGGATTCCTACAGGACTGTATCTGAACATCGGGAAAAAGATTTAACATTACTGGATAAGCGATAGCATTACTGTCTGATTACTAAGGCACACAGATCTCTTTACGAGTTGCCAACATTGGCCGATAATTACTGATGTGAAACCTGAAGAACTCTAGAGTCATCTCGGAAAAATCTTAACGTCTAGAGTCATATCTGAATGCCTGAATTCTAGAGTCATGTCCAACCTCTAGAGTCTGAATCTGATTCGAGCATCTTAACTAAAGTTCTGATCCTCAATTCTGAGCATAGACAAAGTAATATGTTTATAATAACTGAAAACTGAATTGCAACAGCACTTACCTGTTGTCGGCGGGGCGTGAACATGACGGTTCGGGTTTTACTGGAAATTTCGGACTGTAAACTTTTCTGAAAACTTTTCTGAAAAATTACTGAAAACTTACTTACTGAAAACTTATCTGAAGACTTACTTACTGAAAGCTTATCTGACTAAAAACTTATCAGAGACGCAGAAACGTGCTCTGATACCAATTGTAACACCCCACCTTACTAGTAAATCAGAGTAGCGCATTTATTCGCAAAGTCTGTGAAAACTAAAACATTTTTACTTTGCGAAACTGATTTGGGGTGCTACCATGAAAATCTTGACTTAACTTTAGAAAACCGTTGTTTTAACTTATTAACAACATCCGGTTATTTAAAAACTTTATTTTCTGAAAAGTTCGTCTAAATACGATAAAACCGTTAAAATCATCAAGCATCATCAAAATGATCGTCAAAAATAAGTCAAAACGTAAGGGGAAGCGTAAATATTAGTTATACAGTCCAAAACACATATATATAAATGTCCTGAATGTCCTGAGCTGCTCCCATCATGTCACACTCCCGGCCCGACCTGCTGACCTGAAAAATAAGATAAAACTGGGGCGTGAGCACTAGGCACTGTGCTCCGTGGAAACTCATACTAATGTAAAACATCGTAAATAATAACAATATCATGAACTAAGCATATATATCTGAACTGAACTGATACCGGTCTGAACTCGCGGCCGAAGTCACGTACTCGCGACCGAAGTCACGTAACTGAATCTGCTCGGCACAAACTAATGCCGCTCGGCACAAACTAATGCCGCTATCTCCCGGCACAAACTAATACCGGACCATGTGCACACTCTAGTGGTTAGATAAGGCCACTAGAACTCAGAATGGACCGGCGACCATCCCGAGTGGTTACTGAAAATACATACCTCGAATATGGTAGAGCAATTATAAACAATGTAGTACTTAGTCTGAGTCCCCACCTGAACTGCTGAACTGATAGGTAGTGCTGATGCCTGCTAAACTGAAAATAATATAAACAATTACTATTGACTATGCTCAGACTGCTTAATTTAATTGATTAATCTCGTTAAGATGCTCTATTAAACTTATTCTGATTTTTAGACTTATCCGG